TTTATGTTCTGTTGAAGAAAGTGTTGTTGCAACTTGTTTTACCTGCAAGCATGATGCAGCTATTCTGGACCTTGATGAACAAAGCGTTCAAAATGCTTTTTGCCATGCTCTTTTACCCGTATTTGTTTGTCAAAAAACCAAGAAAACTGTGAGCACGTTGATTTCCACATAGTTCTCTGTAATGTTATCTCACTAGTTACATCTGTTATATGAATAGACAAGAGAAACTTGTCGATGAAATTAACAGTTCTATTGGGCAAGATCCAAACTCCATCTTTAATCGGAGTTCTTGATGTATAGGGTTTTCTAAGTTTCAATTTCAATAGGTGAGCCCGTAGCCTTAAAATATTATTTGCTATGTAGTGGTATTCTTACATGCATGCACAGCTGACTGCCACATTATGTAGTTTTGAGCAGTTCTGTATCAACTTTACAAATTAAAAACTAGAACAGCAAGTCACTCGGGTTTATAATTTTTTGACAAAGCTATAGGCCACCCATTTGCATTATTGGCCTTGCTGAGTTTTGGTATATGGCGACTGCCATCTTGTATTTGCGAGAATAAATCAACTGGAGCTACACAGAATTTGTTGATATCCAAGATGCGCTGGATATGATTGAGAAGGTCTTTTACAGTTGCTTTACACTGTTTCATTCTATAATTTCATTTATTTGAATAATATCATACTTGACAGGGCACTGAATAGTCGGTGGACCTGTGTCCTATTGCAGTATAATGTATATTATTTTTTATTACGAGATATTCGAGCTCGCTTAATTTTATAAGTTCTGAAGTTAATAATTAAAGAGTTAAAAACGCAAACTATACGTTTTATGGAGCTTGCAGAATTCTATCAAAACTAAATTCTATTCATGTATGGTTATACTGTGCAGTTTGTATACTCGCATTTGCATGAATTGATTAAAAATTGCTTGGCTGGAGACTCGTGTACTTATAATGGCTTCTTACAGCATGTTTCCTAAATCCTGGTATGCAGCTAGCTTTTTATTCTACTTGATACATCACTGCTCATACATTTTATGAAGCTTGCAAGATTCTATCAAAACTAAAGTTTATTCATGTTTGACTATAATCAAGCCTAAGCTTTCTCGTACTAGCTTCACCATACCTCACTACGCAGGGGAAGTAAAACAATTTATCTTTATTTTTTCTTTTGCTCAGTTTTCTTAAACTTAAATAGCTTCTAAAATATTTATTTCCTTTTATCCTTCCAGGTGATGAATTTGGATGATCGTTCCTAGACAAATGCAAAGATTATGTAGTGGAGGAAGAACATCAGATCTTTTGATAGCTTCCTATTTCCCCTTTGCAGCTGGCCTATTTCCTCCACTTCCAGAGGAATCATCGAAGCCATCTAAATTTTCTGCCATTGGTCACGTTTGAAGGTATGAGGTCGTTTACTTTCTTCTCAGTTTTCTTAGATTGAATGAAGTGAAATTGTTGCTTCCTCGTACTTTTGGCTTCTCGTGTTTTTGCTTGTCCAAAACAACATAGTATGCAAACAGCTGCTGCTATTGAATCGGGGATCGTCATACGAGCTATAAAGCAAAAACAAGACCATTTATATCCGTGGCCAACCTTTCTTGCACTTGTTATGGCTAAGCAACTGAAACAGACAGGAAAAAATTTAAACATCAACATCTCCAGAAAAAGAAAACATAAGATGCATGGGATTTCAAAGTATTCCACAGAAATCTTATTGGTTCCATAATAAGAAGCAAAGGTCTTTACAATCCATTTAATCTCTTACTCCCGCAGTTAAAAAAACTAACCAACTCGCTTCATGAAAATAAAAGCAAATTCAAGGAAGAAGAAGAAGAAATTATTTGCCAATGTGTGAAACCCAATTCAAGCCCACTACTTTCCTCCTCCTCCTCCTCCTCCTCCTCCTCTTCTGTTGGGCTTACAAGAATAGACCTTTTGTGAAATCATGGCTTCATTGCGTGTTTTGTTTTTTCTATCAGGCGAACCCACAAAAAAAGAAAAAAATTATACTCGTATTTTTGTTAAGGAATTTGTATGCAATTTCTATCTTTTGATTAACAAAATATACTATTAGTTTCAATGAGATTTAGGCATGAATTTTGATTGTTGATTGCTGATGTCTCGAGGAAAAGAATAGATGAAGAGAGAGAAGACAAGAAGGAAGGGGGAAAACAAGGGAGAAAAAAAACCAAGCACACTATAAAGTCCAAATTCAACATTTTTTTTATTTTCTAAAACATGCTTTCTTCATTCAAATAAGTTACACAACTATAACCAAACATGTTTGAATAAAAAACAATAATAAATAACATCAAAATCACACAAAAGGTTCCAACTTGCAAAACTAACAACTTAGAATAGCCTATAAAAACATTAAATTTTAATTCAAAATTAACTCTTTAAACACTTTGAATCTAAACCACGTGCAGAAACCAAGAACACACTTTAACAAACTAGAAAAAACATCAATAACCTTACTGTTAGATTTTTAAATCACTATATTTCATTTAATCTAAACATCTAACACCATTAACAGACAACTCCAAACATGGTCAAACAAAAAAAAAATTTGTACATTAATCAAAATTAAAGCTAAAAGCAATATAATACAATAAATGTTCAAAAACACCATACAACATGAAAGATCAAGCTAGAGATGTGCCTCATGGACATCATCTACTAAGATAAATTAATGTTTTATACCTTCCAAGCTCAAACAATGGTTGTTGTCCTTTAGTTTCTTCTTTTCTAAGTTTGTTAATTTCTTTTAAAATTATAGAAATCCTTGTGCTATGCTCTTAAACTTTCATACTTTATAGTTCTCTTATCAATCTTTTCCTCTCCTTTTTCTCTCCTTTACTATGATTTTTTAAAGGTATTTATAGAGTTTTGCTAGGGTTTTTAAGGGGATCAAATATAAATTGATCAAAGCTTAGCTCTTCGATCAAAATGAGAGGGTTCTAGAGTACTTCTCATAGCTGCGAGCTCTATACTTATGCTGGTTTTTCAATGGTGGTTTTGCAACAAATTTGGTTTTTAGTAGTTTTTCAAACTTGAAGATCAAAGAGCTTATTTGAGGCCTTTTGATCTTGAGAGAAATGTGACCAACTTTTAATAAGAACTTGCTGATAAGGCTTGAAGTGTGAACATACTAAAAAAGATTAGTAGTGTTGTAAAATGAGTATCACATTCATCAATGACTGAGTTGATCATTTTCAAGACTTTATTAAAGCAACTCCAACGTCATTGTTATAGAAGACCACTTAATTTTAGTAAAGAGGGTACATATTTTTTATTTGGATCAAACCTTATTCAATTTAAAGATTTATAGCTCCATATTTATTTGTTTGAAAGTGTCAATTCCATTAGTCTAAAATTTAAAAATACAGTAATGGTTTTTTTTTTTTTGGTAAGTAAATATAGTAATGGTTGATTGGGAATAAGATGTAAATGTTTGTCGGAAGTAGCTAATGTTTGTAGATAGGGTGTTTCTTAGTTAAATGGTAATGGTTATAACCCTAGAGATGGTCAGAAACGCCATATTTATCCGTTTGAAAGTGCCTATTCAATTAGCTAAAACTATTAAAGTAGAAGCTAAATAATGGTTGAACAACATGTCATCTAGGTTAAACCCTAGAGATTAGAATTTTTAATTTGGAATCTAATATATTTCATTTCAGTTCATATTCTTACAATTAATTTTAATTACATCTATAATTGCTTCTTAAAATCTTAATTTCATGCAATTTCACCCAAACTAAACTTAATCTTCAACTCCAAAATTTAGAACCATTTTCATCTCTGCTCTTAGTTTCTGATTGGTGCACTTAAATCCTTAATTGATCATCAAACTTTCAAATTTTTTTTTTAAATTTGACCCTTCATTTGTTTAAATTCAGCCCCTACAATCATGCATCTTTTTCAACTTGATTCTTGATTTTTGATTTCTTTAATTAAGTCTCTAATTGTCTATCAAATTTTAATATTTATACAATTAAACCTCTAATTTGATCAAATTAACTTTTTAAAATTACAAATTAACCTCCAGAGTTTAATTTCTTCCAATTAAATTAAAATAAGAAAAAATTAAGCGAGTTAAAAAATAGAAAAGAAAAGTGATGAGTGCAAAAAAGAGAAAAATAATTGAAGAAATGAAAAAAATATGAGAAAATAAATTATGGGGGTTAACTTTATTATTGTCCCATTCTATCATAATCCAATCCAATAAAATTTGTTTTTTCAATATCCCATTCTATCATAAACCAATCCCCCACCAAATTCATTTTGAGTGGTTAGGAAAAAAATATAATGAAATTGGGTTGATAAGGATGATATGTATAAGGCAGTCGTATCAAATGTATGAATTGTCCACTCCAAGTACAAAAACTAATAGCAAATTAACAATATTTTAATTAGTCATAAATAAAATAAAATGTAAAAAAATCATGTATTAATTTCTCAAGAGTTACATACTTCGTTTAAAAGAAAGTAGAAAGAAATTGACAGACTCGAATCATTGTCCATACTGTTAATCAGTAGTGGAAGCGAAAACATGCTATGCTCTCTCTTTTCATGAAATGCAAATATGCTCTTTTCCCATGTGACCAGTGAAAGTGAGGCACTTGCAGATATGCTACGGATACAAGAAGCTGCTAATAAATCTGATTTCAACAATTTTACTTCCTGCAACTACAACAAGTATTTGAATCAAACAACTCACATCATCTAGCACCATTATAGGGATTCAAGTTCTTATCATGGTGAGACGCCAGCTGTGGAAATCTCACGATCTTATCACAATCAACCCAGTTGCAAAAATCTCGAACCAAGTCTTTTGATTTGGAACTCTTTTCCATTGATTAGTAGTAAGCTTGCACACATAATATCATGGAATTCGATCATCAAGACAAAAAAAATATCTTGGTTTGTGGATGACACAATCTGAGGAACAGTTTAGGATAGAAATTTGAATTGCCGAAAGACACAGGATGAAAAAAAAATTGTTGCTAGTCATGCTTTGTACGAAATAGCCAGATATTATTTTGGTTCTTTGGTAATGGAGATTGATAGCGAGAGTATTCCATTCTTTGGAAAGAAGTCTGCATCACCCTACAATTTTCATTGATGAACAGCTTAAACGAAAATAAGAAAAATTGCTGGCTTTCTGGGAAGTTGAAAGCTGGATCTGCTTCCTTTTCAGATTGTTTATTTCTATTTTTTTCTCAAAAAAAAATTTGCATGCATACATACATACAGACAGACTGACAGACTAACACATACTTGAAAGAGCTTTGTTATGCTGCAGACCTTATCTGGCAAATCTACTCACTTCAATGCTTTGTTTGCTAAGGAATCGACAGTAGGATAAGAATTCTCATTTTAATTCCTATATAATGTCTTCTTTAGTTGATTTACCTGCAAGGAAAACCATGGTTTCACATAAGCGAAATGTCATACCCTGAAAGTTAAACTTCAAATTTAAAAATAAAATAAAATAAAATAAAACAGCCACTCTTGCTTTACCAAAATTTGCAAGGGGATGTGGATGATTAGAACATTCTGCCTTTACGACACAGAATATGATTTCCTACGCGCGGGAAATTACATAGATCCCAATATGGTATCAACACTAAATTAAGGGTCTGCAAGCTACCACATACTCTAAATACACAAATAACATCATGTCCACAAGAACAAAGTACTGAATGCATACATGCTGTGGTAACATGGCACAACATAGAAAACCTGACTGGCTAAAGAGTTAGCTGAGTTGAGCATGAGATAAGTGCAGAGGTGAGGACCCACACCCATAATAATATCAAGGTCTAGCTCTCTTGTTGCTGCATGATGGGCATTTGTACTGCTTGATGTGCTCAGCCCTGGCAGGAGTGATCTTCACGCACTTGCCATGGAACCACTTTTCACATATGTCACAACAAATCCAGAACTCATCTGCAGCATAGTTCTCTCCACACGCCCCACACAAAGTATCCCCGTGCTCCTCCTCCTCCTCCTCATCCAGTCCTTCCTCCTCATCCTTTGGTTGCCCCTTCAAATACTTGACAGATTCTGATCCTCGCTGTTTTCATATTCATCAAATTAGCACGTAATAGTGACCAGAATTAGCATTTGACATCACATCATGACATCAATAATCATATTGGAAAAGACAATTTTGTCTCTAGGAAAAACACAAACACCCAAGTGTTGCAATAGTGGGAAACAACGTAGTGTTTACAACGAATCATGATGCTATAATATTTTTAAGCATTCAGGATTTGGTCGCTAGTCCACAATCATATCATTTCCTTTTTAACATCTTAATCATTGGCTCAGACAAGACAGATGTGATACCCTGGCAACCTATTACCCATGAATCCTCAACTACTTCAGACCATTGCAGACTCACTACCAATAGGAACCATGATGATTTCCATATGCACGAAACCATCTGAACTAAATTAGTATTTGAAAGCAAGCTCTGTATGAAAAAGGGATAAACCCTTGTACATGTTAGTATACCCGTATTTTTGGCAGGGTTTGACATAAGTAGTGAAAAGGTCATGAAGTCAAGAAACATGATACGTGCAGGGGCAGAACTAGATTTTAGGTATGGGGTGTTCAATATAAAATATATTAGTATAGATTTGGAAATAAAATTGACATTTTTTTTTTTTTTTTGGGGGGGGCGGGGGGGGGGGGGGGGGGGGT